AAATTTTGATTTTAATTTAATTAATTAATTATTTAAAATAATTCTCTTATTAATGTCGATAAAATAAATGTCAATTAATATAATTAATGTAAATTAATTACAAAAGGTATATTTACTGTACCTTTAAAGTTAACTTATTGAAATTTAATTAAAGATATTAATCTTTTTTATTAATTTTGATTAATTACCATAATTTGGGATTGAGTACCTAATTATCTCTTGATTAATCATAATCAACCAATTAAATAATTCATTTTAAACTGGTTAACCATCAAATTTTTCAAAAGAAAGTCAACCTGATCAAACAGTTTCAATTTTATGCGCTCGGGTTCACTAAGTTTTTTAACTTAATCAAAAGTCGGTCCTCAAGGTGTCAGTTTGTTAAAATCTGGTTCATGCATTTTCAATTCTTTCAATTTGGTTTTTGCATTGATAATTCATTTTAAATTGATCCTCATCGTTTAAATTAATTACTTCAATATTTCATAGGCCCAAAGATGGGAATAGTTGCTACGCATGCAAGTGTTTATTAAAAAAAATTATACAAAAAAATTATTTTTAGATGATCACCCTATTACTATATATCAAGTGATACATATATTACCATAATCAGCAACAGAATCAATCTCTTAATATCTTAAAAAACATAACTTATATATCATAACTTCTATCGTATCATTATCTGAACTTTTAATCTCAAAATTTTCTTACCTTTGAACAGTCCATTCTAATTTAGTAGCCTGAACCAACTTAAGGTTAATTCACCTTTTATAGATAATGTATTCAAATCTCACGGAATATTTTTTTTAATTAATGTATATAAATAATTTCAATAGATTAAAAAAAATACTTTTTTCTTACCTTTTACGGCTGTTCTTCCAAAATTACAACATAAAGCAAATAATCCCTCCACTGACACCGTCCCCTTGTCCGTCTCTCCCTTTCTCCTTTTCCAACCAGATAGCCACTTTTAAGCCACATTTCTTTAGTCCGCGTCCTTTCCTCGCGTGGAAAAACACAGCAACTGTCGGAGAAAAGCAATAGGTTAATTTTGTACGAACGAAACTTGT